ACATTGTACTATTAAATTTAATATATATACTAGTTATTAACTTTTAGAACAGTGCACTAATAAATTTAACATTTATATCCGTTATTAACTTCTAGAACAGTGCACTATTAAATTTAACATTTATATCAGTTATTAACTTCTAGAACAGTGCACTACTAAATTTAACATTTATATCAGTTATTCACTTCTAGAGCAGTGCACAACTAAATTTAATATTTATATCAGTTATCAACGTGTAGAACAGTGCACCAATAAATTTAACATTTATATCAATTTTAACAACTAGAACAGTGCACTATTAAATTTAACATTTATATCATTTATTAACTTCTAGAACAGTACATTATTAAATTTAACATTTATAACAGTTATTAACGTGTAGAACAGTACATTATTAAATTTAACATTTATATCAGTTATTAAATTTAACATTTATAAAAGTTATTAACTTGTAGAACAGTACATTAATAAATTTATCATTTATATTATTTATTAACTTCTAGAACAGTGCACCAATAAATTTAACATTTATAACAGTTATTAACGTGTAGAACAGTACACTATTAAATTTAACTTTTATAACAGTTATTAACGTGTAGAATAGTGCACTATTAAATTTAACATTTATATCATTTATTAACTTCTAGAACAGTGCACTATTAAATTTAACATATCAATTATAAATGATATAAATGTTAAATTCAATGGTGCACTGTTCCACCCGAATCGAAGTTTTCTTTTTTATAGACTTTAAAAGTTCGTAAGATTGATTGCAAGTACGCTACATTAGCGATACTGGAAACGCGCGAAATGAAAATCTTGTTTTCAGCAGGAATTTTAACATTTTGATAAAACAACAACAACAACAAAACACATTATTATTAATGAAGGGATATTTAAACAGCTGACAAGGTTTTTTGCATCCGTACTAAAGTAGAATTAGCATTTAGTTCGTTTCTTATTTACAGAGAAAATGGCTTACGGTTTTAAACTTTCGTTTAGGAAATGTAAACTACAAATCTAGGTATATAAGGACTACCTCTCGTAACACGAGCGGAACTTTGCCAATAGGAACATTAAGAACGATATTAGTCTCTCCTTGTTTTCCAATGTCTTTCAAAAGCTTCTTGTAACTCTGGCCTGGAGTCAGCTGATGTAGGACGACTTTGACGTCTTGGTAAGATGGCGCCTTAAGGAGATCTTGTAATCTAACCAAACCTGTTAAAAATTATATTTTTATTTACAATAAAACAAATTTCAATATCTCTCATGTGGATTAGGTTGTAAGGTTTACAATATCTCTCATGTCGATTAGGTTTTAAGGTTTAGAATATCTCTGATGTAGATTAGGTTGTAAGGTTTACAGTATCTCTCATGTGGATTAGGTTGTAAGGTTTAGAATATCTATCATGTGGATTAGGTTGTAAGGTTTATAAATATTTTTGTCAGTTGCACAATAAGCTAGCTGTTGGTTCGCGGGATCGAAACTCGTGGCCGAACATGTTCTCTCTTTTAGCCATGAGGGGGGGGGAGTGTTTAAATGTTGCGGTTAGTCCTACTATTCGTTGGTAAAGAAAAAGCCCAAAAGATGGGTGTAAGTGTTGTTAGCTAGCTCTATTCTTTTTAGTCAATCATTTCAAAGTCGAGGACGGTTAGGGCAGGTAGCCCTGGAGTAGCTTTGTGCGAAATTTAAAAATGAAACAAAATATATACACAGTTAAAGAAAGAGTTAATAGACCTATATAAAACCAACATATATATATATGCATACAACTAGAGAGAGAGAGAGCTAGTGTACCTATATAAAACCAACAGGTATAAACAGCTAGAGAGAGGGAGTTAATGAACTATATAAAAACCAACATATATAAATATGTGTGTTGGTGTACTTTGGTGACAGATTTTCTTGTAGGCAGATTTTGTTGAACAAGACCGATGTCTGTAGGTTTACTTTCTTCTTGAAAATCTTCTCAAGCAGTCGATAAGCCGTTTTAACGTTGTTAGAACAACGGGCAAAAGTTGTAGATAGTAGTGAATTGGCCAATCGTGGATGGCGGTTTCTCCTTCTGATATTTGCCTTTTGACAAGTTTCTGCTGAAACTCCAAGGTTATCTTATCGTCTTTTGCTGTCGTCTCCAAAGTACACCAACATTCGATTACATGACGCACAGCTAGACAGAGATAGTTAATGGATCTATATAAAACCAACAGGTATATACAGCTAGATAGATAGAGTTAATGGACCTATATAAAACCAACAGGTATATACAGCTAGACAGAGATAGTTAATGGATCTATATAAAACCAACAGGTATATACAGCTAGATAGATAGAGTTAATGGACCTATATAAAACCAACAGGTATATACAGCTAGATAGAGAGAGTTAATGGACCTATATAAAACCAACAGGTATATACAGCTAGACAGAGAGAGTTAATGGACCTATGTTCAACCAACTGGTATATACAGCTAGACAGAGAGAGTTAATGGATCTATATAAA